AAAATGGAAAAATCTGGTACCGCCCATCACTAGGGACCAGTATAAATTCCTCCAAAAATTGTTAACAGATATAAGATATATCGACACTAGTTTCCATCAGGCTCATAATGATATACTGTACATGTAGTTTCTTTATATACCCACAAAACATGGTGAGGCTATTGTGGGTCGCACTATTATGTAAAGTGGGAGGGACACACACTAAACTAGGTAACCCACAATAGCCTCAACATGTTTTGTGGGTATATAAAGGAAACTAAGGAACGGTCTACTCAATCTATCTTTCTAATACCTGAGTACTAACAATTTTTGAAGGGACAAGTCCTACTTTGTGGAACTAGTCCCATCTTTCATTCTTATAATATGTCCTTTTAAAAAATAATGCCATTTCAAAATTGCAGTGTCTTGTCCAGCAAAGGACATTATCCTATAGTGGCTGAAATTTTGTACTTGACATTAAAATACAAATATTATGCCATTTTCACCCATTTTGTGCATGCTCAATGTCATGTGGCCACAAATTTACCAAATTAAAATCCACCAATCACCAAAATTTAGCCATTTGATAAATTTAATTCACTCCAAAATTTCCCACTATACGGTATAATTGTAAAGCCTGAAACTTTGGTAGACGATACTGTACAAGATAATTTATTGGCAAGGAGTTAATATTGGCAATTATATGAAGAAATTATCAATATAAAATCTGCCATTTTGTTTCAATCTGAGCATGTTCAATGGCACATGGCACAACAGTGGCGGAGCTGAACCTGGGCCCACACGGGCCTAGGCCCAGGCATCAAAGCTCTGTAATGAGATTCATTAGATACAATGTAAACAATTTCTTGCCCAAAGTTTAGATAAAGCCAACCACAAGCCTCACCAGAGTACTAACAAGTGCATACAGGTGCATATAAGCAATTAGCAAGCATTTTTCATGAAGTATTTTCAAGTAAAATACCCAAAGAAAATTAAAAAGCATGTATGGAAAAAGCTAAAAACAGGACACACCCACATCCGGGCCCGGGCATCAGTTTAGTTCCAGCTCCGCCACTGTGGCACAAAATTGCCAATATAAAATCTGCCAATTTCTTTCGACAGGCAAATCTGCCAAATATTACTCCCGCCAATAAATCATCTAGTATGGTAGTCAAATGCTATCATTTCCAAAAATTAAATGCACAAAAATAATACATTTAAATGTACATAACTTTATGAGCAATACCTAATACATTACAGCATATACTGTATACCGGTTTATTTTCGTGGTGAAATATTTTTGCAAAAGTCATGGTCTCTTGTTCCTTCACAAAATTTTTCAGCCACAAAAATTGATTGATTAATTAATTAATTAATTAATTGAAAATTAATTCCGCGAAATCTTAGAAATGCAAGATTCACGAAAACTTTCCACCAAAAAATAAACTGGTATACGGTACATGTACGTGTACCTATACCCTATACGTGGAAAATTTTGAGGGGATAAATTTTTGTGAATGATGAATTTGCAGGATTTCATGAGGACAAACTTTCGCGAATTATTTTTGAAGTGCCACCATTTTGTAATAAAGTGGAGAGTTAAAATTAATTTTCACATGCTTTAATTTCACAAATGACTCCCGTTTCGCAAAATTCACGAAAATTTACCCCCTCAAAATTTCCGCATATAGGGGGGTACTTACTTTCCAGGATCCCTATCAGGCATTCCTTCATTGCAACACGAGGGCCCATAGCCAGTGCAGTATTTGCAGAACTGGCATATGAGGCATCTCTCGTTGGTCCAGGTGTGTTCTCCTTTAGGACAGATGTGTTCATCATCATCTTCACTAATAACATCAAGTTCTTCATCACCTTCTTCAATACCTTGATCTGTTGGGAGGGAGAGGAAGAGAGAGAGAGAGAGGGAGGGAGAGAGAGAGAGAGAGAAATTTATAATAAAATAGCCTCATACATAATTACACATACAGCACCATACAGTACTGTATACCATAAAATCTATGCGACAAAAATTTTTTGCGAATCTTGCATTTCCAAGATTTCATGAAGTAAATTTTTGCGAATAGCTTGCAAACTGTACCAAATGGCAATAGAGCTGCAGAATTTTGGGATTTTAATTTTTGGGATGGAGCAAAAATTGTGAAACTCGCAAAATTTTTGTTGCATAAATTTCATGGTATATAGTATACTACAGTTTTAAACATATGAATGTCCTATTCATTATATGCACAGGACATTACATTGTTGTATGCAACTTTGCAGCTACTTTTATGAAACTGCTCCACTTGGGACACATTACAAATACTTTGTAACCTGGTCATGGACAAAGCTGCAAGCTAATGTACATGTGACAATACATGTAAGTCCATGATAGTATATCTAATCAACCACATCATAACAGTATTCACGATGGTGTGGCTACACATTTTGGACTAAAGTAAAGTCACGTGATGCAATTAAAATTACAATTACAGATACAGATCTGTCAGATCACAGTCACAGTAATAGTCAGCTAAAAGAAACCCAGTACCTATATATTCTTTACATTGAGTTCATGGCTTTATCTAAAGGCCCACTATCAAGAGCTGAGAAGATACAGAAACCATCTCCTCTACTACAAGGAAGCAACTGTATAGCAGCTATTGACTTTGGTACCTCATCACTATCAGTAGCATACACCACTCCTGCAACTGATGGGGTCATTAAACTAGTACCACTACACAGTACATATG